GGGGGTGCCCTGCGCCCTGGGCCGCCCGCCCGCCCGCCCGCCCGCCCGCCCAAGGTCCGGGCGTGTGGGTGGGTGTGTTCGTGCTGGGCGCGAGCGAACTCGACGGCCACCCGAGTGCCGGGCATTCCTTTGGTTGGGTGTGAAGAAGGGCCGGACGGCGGCCTCCCCCGCTGCCCTTCTCCTTCCCGAGGCACGGCGCGTTGAAATATTGCCCATTAAAAATGACAACCAAAGTACCCTGCAATCGCGATTGCCCGGCACGCTGGCTGTGGCCACAGTGGCAAGAAGGCCCCCAACGTTGCCAAAGACCCCAGGGACGGGGCCCCCCCCCCCCCCCCCCCCCGCCCCCGCCCCGCCCCCAGGGGAACCGATGGGCCTGGAAACTCGGGTGAGCGGGAAGAGGAGGTTATTTTCCGGCGGAGCCCGCTCATCCTGGACGGCGCCGGCCGCGCTTGTGGGGATATCCGCTTCCATCTGCCGGCCATGCTGGATCCCTGGTTACATGTGTTTGTGTGCCTCTCCCCCAGTCGACCCCCCCCCCCTTGCCGAGGGGCTGGTGCCACCAAAGCTCCACGCACGCGCGTGTGCGTCCATGCACGCCTCTCACTCCGCGCGGCGGGCGGGCCCTTCCGCCCGTCGCCGCCACCGCCGCCCGCCGTCGCCAGCACCGCCGGAATCGCCGCCCAACGGAGACTGAGGGCTTCCTTGAGGTCCCTCCCTCGTCCCGCCCCCCCCCCCCCCCCTGCGTTGCCGCCGCAGTCGGAAGACCCCGGCGAGGCTCCCCCGGCCGGGGACGAGCATACGCGCGGGGGCGCAGCAAGGGGTGCCCGTTCCTGGCCCCGTGGGGCTGGCCGCGCCAGCGTGCCACATCACTTTGTCCACTCTGGAAAGGGAGAACGCGCGGGGGCTTCTTTCCCCCGGGCGCAGACCGCGCCGGTAGCTTGGTCTGCTTGTCTTTTTTTTTTATGCCGCCTCCCGCCCGGGCCCGGTGGCCGGTTGGCGTGCAGGCGTGTCATCGACGGTAATAAGAGACCCGGCGCGAGTCTCCCAGCCGAGCCCGGCTGTTGACGTGCTGCGCCGGTCCGGCACCCGGGCGGAATGTAGCGCGCCTATTTTTTGGCCGTTTGCCCGCGGGCCCTGGATTATTGTCCCCCAGCCTGCCCTTGCCCGTCCCGGCTTCGGCCCCAGTGCGGGCCGCCTTTCGGGTGTGACGCCGCCCGCCTGGTGTCCATCCTCCCCCGGTATGGCGGCTCCAGCGGCGGCCATCACGGCCTCCGTTGCTTGGGCCGCCGGTGGGCCCCCCCCCCCCCCCCCCCCCCCCACCCCGGACCGTCGCGTTT